GCTTAAGACCCACCTTGGACCCCCCCAAGACCCACCTGGAAACAAAGGAGTGTTCCAATAAGGCGAGATCCTTTAGGAAATGGCTGGGACTAAGGACACATTCCATCCATTTCTTTTTGGGCCACGAACTGGGTTAAACCCAGGCAGTTCGACTGAAGGATCGGGCCCCCCATGCCGTGAGGGTTTGGGCCCTTTCTTCTATACGCGTGTCGTTCGACGGAGCGACGTCTGGTGTGTCCCCGATGCGTGGGAGGTGTTCCTTTGGCCGGGGAGGGCTGTTAGGATCGAACACGAAGTCGAAGAGTCGACCAGAACGACCATGCTTCCCTTACAGAGAACACCGGGAAGCTCCTGCTGCAGCAAAACGACATACTCTCCCCGCAAACGAATCCCCATTGTCAAAACCTGTCAAGTCAAGAAGAAGAAGAAGAGGAAGAAGAAGAAGAAGTCGAAGTCTCCCTGACTGCTGCCAAGCAGCTCTAGGATCTTCGGAGACCTAAAAACCCGCATGCAAGAACTGTTGCAGACGAGGAGTTGTCAACAAATGTGTGGCAGTGGCCCATCGTCCACTTGCTTGGCCGTTTTTTGCCGAGGAATGATGTTGGAGATGGATGCTCGGAGACGACGAGGGCTCCGGCGGACGAAGAAAGAGAGTCCGAGAGCTCCGTCGTTACGCCGAGGGCTCCGTGAGGGTTTCTAATCCGCCGTAGACGCACGGGTCATGCAGTGACTGTCATTTTTCATCCATGTTCACCTGGATTGTTCGGGTGGGTGTTGTGTTCTTTTGTTCAAGAAAAGGCCTCCAGAAGCATGGCACCCCTCCCTTAAGCTTCTCCGTGAGAACCCACCACCAGGCCGGTGCCGACCTCCCCCCCTCACCACCCGCCGCCCCAAACGGCGTGGGTCTCTGGGTCTCTGGCTCGCTCGCTCGCCCTACGCTCTAGGGGGCCCTCTCAAGCAGACCGATCCCGGGCCGAGGACAACAGCGAGTTGCTGATCTTGTTGGATTCGGAGCAGCAGCTCAAGCACAAGGCCCCCAGCTTCGCCTCCGCCGGCGCGGCCCGGTTCGCTTCCGCCGCCTCCGCCCACCCGTCCCGGTTCCGCGTTCGTCGTCGTCGAACCCGCGTGGCCCGGTACCGGCCACGGGAGGTTTGGGCGATGGAGACGCTGGTGAAGAAGAATCCCTATAGGACTCCAGGAAGCTTACCTTCTCAGGTTCGGTAACGCCTGGGCACACATCACCATACCTGAGAAAGTAGTTGGATCCCATAGGGGATGGAAGCGCCAGTGCATCTGGGTCCTCCATCCCAAGATCTCTGGACTTGCGCCATCTGGAAAGCTAGTGAAGGATGATGCCATCACCAAACCACGGATTAGATCTAAAGTAGCTCAGGCCTTTGCGGCACAGGTGACTTAAACTCTTAGCGAATTCCCATGCCCAAATCACAGATGTTCCATTTTCCAGCAGCATTTCCATCTTCTTCCGGTGCATGGCCTCTTCTGTTCGCCTCCGAGCCGAGACACAACTTCCCGCGCGTGAGACGCGTGAGAGACCCACGCGAGGTGGACGAGGCCCTTCGAGTACTTCAGGGTGCCAACCATTGAGGGCGGATTTTGCCCCCGGGGGGGGGGAAAAAACAAGTCGGGATGGGCTGAAGATTGATGACGGAACATTCCGTTCTTGTTTCCGAACAATGGAGATGGACGTGGAACTCAAGTCACTCTCCAATGAACCAGCAGGATTCGGTTGCGACAGTTCATCGTTGTTTTGACTTGGGAAATAGACCAGTCTATCCGGCCAGGGATCCCCATTAAGTTACAAATCCACATGTGTTGGTCAATAATTCACGACTACGCTCCTTGGAGTACTCATGGTTAGGCGGATGGCATGCCCCCCTTGGATGACCATCTGCCCAATACCCAAACGGAGTGCTATTTCAGGGAGTGTCACAAGTTTGCACTCCTGAGACAGATGGATCCTTGATGGATCCCTTGGATGGATTCCTTGGATGCTTGAATGGATCCCTGATGGATCAGTCAATAAAAGCACCAAGCATGGATCCCTTGGATGCTGTGATCCTCGTGTTCCGTGTCCCCCGAAAACGCGACTCGATGCATCGATCCGCCCGTTCGGTTCTGCTTCGGGCTTTTTCGCGCGCCGAAGATCGGCTCGTCTTGCTCGGTCGACCCACCTGGATGTAGATGTTCCGTGAATTTCAGTGGAGTCCCCAGCCCATCCTGCTTGAGTAGGGAAGCCTGGGCTGAGTTTGTGGCGCATGACGTTCTTGCGCGTGACGCCGTGCGGCGTTTCTGGCAACGCAGTTGAGGCACAGTTTTGAGCTCAAAAGTGTGTCGTCTGCCCATCGACCAACAGGATGGTTCTTCTGGGGGGATCTGTGGGAGATGGTGATAGATCATGATAGATTTTTGCAGTTTGGAAGGTCAACTGAAAGCTCATTTGGGGCCTCTGGCTCACCAAGCTCATCTGCTGAGCCCGGTGTCCTCCCCTGTTTCGACCCACCGAAGGACGGAGCAGTGCAGGTCACTTCGCCTCCACGTCGCACGACGCGGTGCACCTGTCCGGTGCACCGATCACAGTAGAAGTAGATGGCCGGAACGTGTCCGAAAGGCGCAAGGGTACTGCCGTTTTAAATGAGACGTCTTCTGCCTACCAGGACACCCGGACCAGGGGTGTCTATTAAAAGCACCTTAGCTGTGATTCGGGGTGTCCATGAACCACCCCGACAGTGGGTCCTAGTATAGTAACTCTAGTAGCTTCTTAAGTGACATCTTGTGACTAGTAGCGATGGCCTCCAACCTAATAGCAATGGCCTCCACCGAAGGAAGGCGTCCTTGTTACTGCTGTTCAAAGAGACGGATGGTTGCATCTGTTTGTTCCATGCGAGGCCCGAAGCAAAGAGAAGAGTTGGGCTCTAATTTGGCTGTGAAGTGAAGTTCCCGAAATTAGGTACCCTAAAGACAAGAGGAGGATGTCCCTGTAGTAGTGCAGGAGCAATGGGTTCTGGATCTGAGAAAAGGTAGGTGTTCTTCCTTTCTGCCTTCCTTCCCTTCCCTTTCCATTCCTTTCCTTTGTTTTTTCTTTCTTTCTTTCGATCAGCATTCAATTTCACAGGACTTGGTATTTGTCTGAACTTTTTGCCATGCTATCAGTTAGTCAGTCTGTTAATTATAAGGTTGGGGAAGGATAGAAGAACGCTCAAGCCACTAGTGCGCGACTTTTGAAAGGGGTAGTAGATGAGGGGCGGCCAAAAAGTAGGGTTGTGTACGGGAAGTCACAGGGCTTGAAGTGGAGAATCTCTGAAGGTTGTACGATCTCCTTTACCACCAGAGGCTTTAGCAGAGATCTTTATCACTATTAGGTTCTTCTCAGCTTCCTTCTTGGTCTGTCCCAGATGATCCGAGCACTTTTGCAGTGATCTGTCGGGGAGAAACACTTTTTGTACCAACTACCAAAGTCAATTGCCCGTCAGCTGGTCTCCCATTCCAACAATCTTCGTTGACGAAACGCATGCTGCACACATTTGCACACACATATATATATATATACACCCTACAAGTCCAAAGACCCAGTAAAACCTGGTCTTTTACCTCCTTAAGTATTGGTTTTGCATGACAATCCCGAGTAAAATGAGGTCTTTGACTTGTAGGGATATATTATATCATATGTATACATATACTGTAATCGGAATCAGCATTTCAATAAGGGTCGCGTGCCTATAGACTTTCGTTATTAATACCATGTCTTATTTTTTAACCTTACCAACAGAATGAGGTGTGACTCAGGGCCATGACTCAGGCACCGTGGCTTCAGAGTAGATGGCACTGGCACCCCAAGATGTCTTAGACAGATGGAGGGTCCTTATAGACCTCCCAACTTGGACATTTGCCTGGGTCGACCATTGGTCGACGTCTCCAGTGTCTCCACGGCAGGATCAACCTTTCGGAACACTGCAGATCGCGGCAAACCAAAAAACATGGGTCTTGGAACACAGTGAGCCGAATTTTATCGCGCGGAATGGAAAGCAGTTCAGATCAATTCACTGTTGTTGAAGGTGTGTGAGGCAAAGTCTTTGAACTATATACATCTAAATACATAGACATAGCTTTAAACAGAGCCTTTTCAAATCAAATCAAGTGTTTCTGTTGGAGTAAGAAGTATATGGCAAAAGAGATAAAAGAACAGGTCGTACCACTTCACGATACCAATCCAATTCGGAAGGTACCTGAAATCGACGAGCTAGAACAACTGGCTGATCAAGTCTCTCTCTCTCTATATATATATACTATAATATAGTATAATATCATCAAACTGATCTGGATGTTTTCGATTCCTCAAGCATGTCGGCTAGACTCCCTTGCCCGGGAGTGAATGGATTGAGGGGACGAAGGGAGCTCATCCGAGGATGCGATGCATCCTAAAGCAATCACAGAAATCCCTGCAGAACAAAGATCGCACCGCGCCGGGGCCGCTCTGCGGGACGCTTTTTCGAGGGCATCGGCCTGGCCAGCTTTGTGGGCCAACTCTCCAGCAATCGGACATGGGGGGCAGTACTAGGGGGTGGATTTGGTAGATCTAGATATGGATTTTCGCCATCCTGGGATTCTCGGGCCAAAACACAACCATCTAAATGAGGTATGCACATCTAATGAGGGTACTTGAATAACGCCTGCGACCCAAGGATCGGAATGGCCGCGGACTGGATGACATCCTTCGCTTCGAACATTCTTTCTCATTCCGGGAATATGTGTTGCATGGGGTGGTCTGTGTCTGGCACGGCTGGTTTGAGCCGGTCACCATGTCGCTTGGTTTCGTACCCAACTTTCGACGGATGTTCCAGCTTTCGGCATACATACGAGAGTTTTTTTGCACCGCAGATGTCCAGATTCGAACCTTGGGGGCTCCACCGCGACTTCCAGTTCTGTTGGTCCTCCACGCTCGCGATCGGCGGCGACCGGGCGCGGCCAACCCCCGGCCTCAGGACATCCGCGCCTTGCGCTCCTCGGTGCTGGACCTCTCCCAGAGCAAGGCGACGCGCGCTTCCTCGCTCTCCGGTCGCCGCGTCCTCGCGCTTTTGGGTGGAGCGGGGGGAGCCGCTTCCTTCGGTCGTCGGGTGGGGGAAAGTCGTGGGCGTTCAGGTGGACAGCATTTCGGAGGACCTGGTGAAGTCCATCTCCGCCAGCGTGCGCAAGGACTATCAGGTGGAGCCGCGACCTCGACGTGGTGCCTGTTTTCTCACACATGACGGATACGAGTCTCATCGATCCTGCTGTTGCGCAGCATCGCCAGACACATCCTTCGCAAGACACATCGCCTGGCATCGCATGCGATGGTGCCCTTCTTGGTCCACCGGTCCACTGCCGAGTCCGCAGGAAATCCTGGACGAACGCTTGGCACACTGGGAACCGCTCAAGGCAGGAACGAAGCAAATCCGGATGTACAGACGCTGAAGACGTGAGCGGATTTGGAAGCCAGGAGAATTGACAGACGCAGATCTAGGCCATCTATATCTTCTAGGCAGACATGTCGGATGAATCAATGAAGCCTGTCTAAACGCAGAGTGGAGAACACTGAAAGCCTGCTGACATCATGCTTTCATCAGCTTTTTGTTCGTTCTGAAGATGTTATTCGATCTACATCTCATGCTGAAGGATCTCTTTTCCTCTGCCAGTCCCAAAAGGCAGCAGATGGATTATGCAACTTGCCCGTGAGAACCCCTTGCGGTCCAAGAAGTTTTAGATGGTGACCACTGAAGTTGGCGATTCCCTAGAAGGCCCTGGAAGACCGTATTTAATTGACACCACCAAAGCAAAGACCATCAAGCCCTAGACTTCCAAGACCATTAGAAGAATGGTTGAACTGGTTTTTGTAGTGTAAAATCCTTAGTTGGTTCGGGATTCAGCCTATTAATTTTATAGTGGTTGGAAGTCTAGGGAAGGACATGCTTCGGTTCTGTCCATCCTCAACCGGTTCAGCGATTGGACAGCGATGGAATGGATGTTTTTTGCTACCTGTAGGATAGTCTATATAGATGTCTATAGGGTTCTTCAACCTCTGTTGGTCTGATCCATCCCTCTTCGCCCGCCACCGCCGCGGAACCCGCCGGTGTCAGGCGACGCTGGGCCGGCAGCGGACGGCCACGGGCTCGTGCCAGCTCCAAGCTGACAGGACCGCAGCTGGAACCAAACCGTTAGTCATCCCTCCGGGTGGGGCCGGTACCTTCGGAGGGTCAGTGGCTTCGGCTTCGGCTTCGTTGGGAGCCTCCGGACGGGTCCAATGCGATCGACTGACACGACCTGGTCATGGGATTCCCTCGTTCACCTTGGTCAGCTGAGCACACCGCTTCGCAAGAAAAGGGATCATGGATACCAGGATCTTCCTTTTCTGTGCAGAATCTCTGCCAATTCCGCACAGTTGGAAGATCTAGGCATAGATATATGATATATGATATATGCACAAGACATATATAGTTTCGTATATAATAATAGTCACCAGCAGTCACAAGACGGGGTGCCGAACTTGGAGGTTCGGGCTGCAAAGAACATCCACTCACTGGATGGGACGAGCCACACCACCCAGGCCCTCCATGTGACTCCTGGTATACACTACGAGCTTGTGGTTCCAAGAGAGGTCAAGTGACCGTCAATAGGACCCGGAAAACCTGGGGTACCGGTTCCTGGGATAGCCGAGACTCTTCGGGTTCTGACCCAGCTCTGTTGGTTTCTGACATCGATCCAACGGTCAAAACCATAAGAAAAGCAAGAGAGACTATAATGGGGTTTGCCTTTTTACAAGAAGTTCTGTTGGTTTCTTGTTCATTTCGACGGTCCGGCACCTCTGGCCACCTCCGTCCGATCGCCAGGCGATCTGGGAGCGAAGGTGTGTGGGCCCGAGGCGAAGGTAGGGAGGGAATTGGGCCCTCCAAACGGAGCTCCTTTCAATGCCAAACCTACCTACCTACCTACCTACCTACCTACCTACCTACCTCTCTCTGTGTAGCGCAGTGCCGGTCACAGCAGTTGCATCAGCTGAGGATCCTCCTGGATCCGGCACGGCCGCAGGCACCTGGAGGTTTTCTTTTTTCGGCGCTTTCCGGCTTTGCAACACGGTTTTGCTGTTCGCTGAAAGGGGTTCGGTTCGGTTCGGGTGTTGAAAAAGCCCAGGACCATGACCCTTTTTGTGGAAAAGACCATGTTCTGTTCCAGCTATGGAAGGCACTGATGTTTGAGCTGGGAAATCCCCTCGCCTTTCTCTGGCCATTCTGCCTCCTGCAAGAAGGCGTCTCCCTCGAGGAGGTGGAAGGGCTCTTGGAATCGTCGGGGACGCTCAGGGCATCTCAGGGCAGTCGGTCAGGTTAGTTAAGTTGGAGGGGCGCCCAAGAAAGGGAGGTTTGGGGGGTGGAAAGAAAAGATCTCCGAACAACATCCGTGATGGAAGAACATGACCATATCTTCACAACTTTTGGAGAAATTGAGAGATGAGGTCAAGATATTCCTGATGTGTGTGCAACATTGTGCAACATCAGCTACAAACTTGTTCGGCGTTTCATCTCAGATGGACGTCCATGTTAACGTACACTTGTGGGTTTTTAAGACTTTGTTTTCCAAGCACCAGAAGAAAAACATGTCCTCCATTGTCGACTCTCGGTGGCGGATGGGCAGCATATTTGTCCGCAAGCGGTGTCGTTTTTGAAAGCGGAGCCCAGTTCACCCGCTTCACGCCGTTCACATCCGTTCACCCCGACCTCCGTCGTTTCTTTTACCATATCATGTGCTTCGCGATGTCTCCACCGGGAAAGCCACTGGCGAACTCATGGCTCCTCCGTCCTGGCTGCGGCGACTGAGGATTCAGTTGAACGGGACGCAGGCAGGGAGGACATCTGTTGTGCGACCCGCAGGTGACACCTGCTTCACTTGCTGCTTCCTCCTTTGAGCAGTGACACCCCATCATCCCCCCTGGTCGAAGCACTTGACGCTCCGAACCTCACCGGCACGCTGCGTGGCGCCGGCCGCGGCCCCCTGTGAGGCCGCTCCGCCTTCCTGGACGATCCAGCGCGGGGCCTGGGACGAGAGCGGTTGGGCGTGGCGGCCGGGGTCGTTGTGGTGCGGAGGCTACGAGGTGTTTCGGCCCGGGGCGGTGACAGCGTGAAGGCCATCCGAGGATATGTCGGATATGCGGACCAAGCAGCAGGGTCTCGGGGGCCTTGGAACTTATACCAAACATGATCACAACATGACTCGACTGGATAATTCAAACACTTGGAGTTCAGTGCTCAGATCTGGCCCGGAACGTTTCGCCCGACGGCAGACTCTTGTGGGTGACCCGGAACGTTTCGCCGACCAGGTGCCGATGTTGATTCTTCCTTCGAACACCTCGTCTTTTGGGGGGAGAGGCATCTATCAACCCTTTTGCCAAGGTCCTTAACAGCTAGAGCTACAATGTTGCAGGCTTCCCACCCTCCCCTATATCCAAGAGATCTCAAGTGACCGTCAATAGGACCCGGAAAACCTGGGGTACCGGTTCCTGGGATAGCCGAGACTCTTCGGGTTCAGAACCACCTCTGGATCTCGGCCCCGGCCCCCGTCCTTCGCGCGCGCCGTCGCGCCGTCGCGTGACACCGAGACGCCGTCGCCGAAGCGTCGCAAGGTTAAGACCGGAGATCCTGGAGGCACGGCTGGGCGGGGCAACGACCGCGCGGGGCGCTGGAACGACTGGAAGAAAGGAAGAAACGACCGAAGGCAGAGAGGAGATCATTGTTGGTTCTTCATGGTTCTTCTCGGCAGACATGTCTGCCTTTTTTCATCCAATCAAACACACCGACCAATTGCACCGTTGGCCGACCCTCTTCGCGGTGTCGCGCGAGCCGCGGCTGCGACCCTCTTCGAGCCTCCTTCGACGTTTCGAGCTGCGCCGATGTTCGAGCAATGAGCGTTCCTGGAGCATCCTGGACCTGGAGATCCCTCTGTGTTTTGGGTGCGTAGTCCAGGACACCGGATGGTCCTGGTTTACGATATTTTGGAGAGAAGCAAGATGAGTGTCTACAATGGTTCACACGTGCCGTGCATGGGGTCTCAAAATGGAGCATCCCCACACTGCCTGTGGGTCGTCGCTCTTCCCTTCCCTTCTTCCACATGATGGCTGTCCGCCCCCGGCATCGTGCACACCCCTGAAAGTCCGAGGCGTCGGCAGTCGGTGTGTGATTTCGCACTCCGTGCCGATCGGACATGCCTACCAAAGACGTTCCCAGACCCCCGAGTTCAGTGAGTTCAGTGAGTTCAACGGTTGCTTCGGAATGGGTTTCGTGGTCCTACCGAGCGGTCGGGGTGGGGGTTTCGTAAGAGCGCTTGGCGGTTTCGAGGCGAGAAAGAGGCGGTTTTTGGTTGACAGGTTCGGAATAGCATGGCTTTTCATTTTGAAGAGGATTCTTTTCTGTATTAGGTGGAATAGGTATGATTGCTTAAAATTCCCATTGGTGTGTGTAGCACCAATTCCTCAAAAACGGAGTTCTCCACATCAGTTTTCTTTCTTCTCGTGGTAATGTAGGCTCTTGAATGGGACAAAACCCCGCTCCATTTGAATTGAACAACCTTTTTCAGGCTTGGGGGGGTTATTAATGAAGAGTACACATTACCTGGACCTTCCTGTCAGGGTGTCCTGTCTGGAGATCTCTCAGTAGTGTGTGGGCTTCCAGCCCGGTGACCCCGAACGGAGGGTGCTGGTGCGCTGTTCGCTGCTCGCGGAGACCCGGTGGTGGAACGGTCGCCGGGAAAGGCGGTGGAGCAGAGCATGGAGCGGCTCACGAGCGCCTGTGGGGCACAAAGGCCTGGGGGCGCGCAACAAGCGCTGGAGCGTGCGAGCGTGCAACGCCCAGCAAGCCGACTCTACAGGTCTCCTTGTTCGAGGTACCGGTTGGGCGCTGTCTCAGGTCTCACCATTGGTGACCTCTAGAGTCGAGTGCCTGGTACTAGTGTTGAGTCTTGGGCAGGGGTGCACGTGGATCAGAAGATAGCACACTGAGGTACATTTACTCGGAAGATAGCAGCCCATGTTCCTTTAAAAGAACATGCAAAATATGTATAAATATGTTATATATATATATAAGGCATTTGCATTACCCAAACGCTCCATGTATGCCATATGTACCTACATAGGGATGGTTTGGGGGGTCAATGTAGGCATATTCATATATATATATATATATGGCAGTCCCATGGAGTGTTTGGGTTAAGCAAGTTAAACTCGCCTTGGGCCATGTTTCGGTGGAACATTGAAGGAGCACCTCCCGTTTCGATTCCTTGCCCCGTGCGTGATCTGTGACATCACTCCGTGCAAGCTCGAGGTTAATGCTTAGAGCTGATGGACTGCCCGGGCGTCTCAGGAAGAGCCACCGTCATGCGTTCACAACATGCGCGTGCATGGCGCGGTGCGGAGGAGGCGACGTGGGATCAACAGGACTTGAAAGGGTAGGTGGGACACTTTAGTTTGTTGGGGCCCTGCAGTCACAAAGAGGGTGCGATAGGTTAGGGGTGCCCAGCTACTCCACTCACTTGGGGACTAAAGACCACTCCTTTGTGACTCGTCGTTGAGGCTTTTAAAGGCCCAGTGGCTCGGCTGTTCCTGGTCATATCCTCCATGTGGCTCCAGCCCTCCAACTGACACCTCTTGACATCCTGACTGGAACAGATTGAAGAGACCATGGAAACTGCTTAGCTGTCCAAATCTGTGGGGTCAGATCAGAAAGGCACACCATTCTGGAAAACTCCTGTTCCAGGGCCATATGGAGTGTGTCTGAAACTAAGGCAAGCCTTCCAGGGGTCAGACCCCCTTGCATGTTCCCACACCCTGATCACACTTGGCTTCATTTCCACTTCCCACGTGCCCCTCCCCCCAAAAAAAGGCAAAGCCACCTGCCATGAGCACCCGATCTCCCGCGGCGTCGCCGCCCGCCGAGTCTCTGCGTGGAGGGCTCCCGAGCCACCGTCGAACGCCGCTCGGTGGCCGGACGAGTGGTGGTGCTTGACGGGCATGCTACGCGTCGTTTCGGGGCAGATGGAAGACGGGAGGCCGGGGGGGGGAGGTAGCAAAGAGAGGAATCCAGTGACCGGTTTCATAGGACCCAGAACCCTGGGGTGCCGAAGTGGGATAGCCGAGACTCTTCGGGTTCTGACCCACCTCTGTTGAAGTTGTGAGTTTCTCTCTCTATTTTTTGGAGCTTCCGGTGGGGTTCAGCACGAAGGATTGGCCCTAGGGTTCTGCTGTCCGGCAAGCCGTAACTCGGTCCGTTTCGGGCTCCAGGTCCCAATCGCATGAATATGCCATGATATACGGTCTCAACCAAGAACAAATGGATGGTTACCTATTGTATGTTTCCCCAAACAACCACTTATGCAAAGGATCTCATTTCCCATCCAATATACAGACTTCCGTCCGAGAAGTCCTCAAATCAACCGCGACGAAGCTCTCCAAAAGCTCCCTCCAAAAGATCCTTTGGAAAAGCGATCTGCCAACACCATCAATAGGACCCGGAAGAGGTGGGGGAACCGTCATGGGAGGGGTCGAACAGTTCGGTTCCGCCCAAACCCAATGATTTGCTTTCGCCCAATGCTTCGCCCGATGTTTTAAGTTCCAAACGATTCAGCTTCTGACCCGATTCCGTGGCCAACCCCCCGCCCCGGTCCTCGGTCGGCAGCCGGCGGAAGTGTGGTACCTCACTTGATCCCCCGGTCCTCGGCGGTCCAAGTGCCCAGCGCCCTGGGTCCGCCGCCGCGGCTTCGGTGCGCCGATGCCAAGCGCACGAGCGCGGAGGTCTCGCAGAGCAGCTGCACGAGCTGTACAAGGACCCAGGCCGCACCGGGCGGGGGGCGGGGGTCGAGGCGGAAGAACGGCGGGGACGTGGAAGAGAGGTGGGGAGAACGGTGCTGAGCGTGGTATTTGTGGGCCTTTTTACATTAACCATTGTGATGAGACAGGATGGGAGCCCCTTTTCTTTTGCGAGACACAGGCTACCATCCGTGTCAATGAAGGCAGCGACTTTCCTCCGGGCTACCGTTTGAGGTTTTACCAGGCAGCACCTGGGAAAGAGAACTTCATGAATGTACAAACAACAACTGAGCGCACCTCGGGAAATGGGCCAAAATGTCAAAGTCAAAAGCATGTTTGTTTGTATTTTTTTTCAAACGAACAAGATTGAACAACACGATTTGACAGGTTTCAGACGTGTTTTGAAGTTACAAGCGCATCAAGGTCGTCAAAAGCAAACCTGCCGGCTTTTATGGTAGATGAACACATCATCATCGATGGTAGCACTCATCGGATCTGGGTAGGTTCTTTGGGCTCCACCTCCAGATGGAACCCACGTCCAGGTCCAGGTCCTTCAGGAAATGGACATGGCCAGCGGATGCTTGTTTGTTTTTGCATAATCTGTTGTTGCGATTGGTCAAAAGGATGATGCACAACTGCACAACCTATAATATATCTTATAGTGCCATATAGTGCCCGCAAAACAGATAGAATAACTATTCAGAAGCATATATCCACAAAGGAGCTTGCTGGGGTTCAGATGGGTTTGGGGGTTTGGGGATTTTTCGATGGTAGGAGGTGAGATTGATGGGCTGGATGGGCTGGATGGTAGGAGGCGCAAGAACGCGTGCTTTCTTGCGCGCGAAAACGCGAGGCGCTGACAGTGGCGAGGAGGAGGCGTGGTGAGCAGATGGGCTTTGGCGGCGGGGCGGTGATGCCGAGGGCAAAGGAGAAAGCCTCAAGGCCCCTCACTGTCGAGAGTCCAGCAAAATGACTCATGCACTACTCGGAGCGGATGGTAGGACCGCCAGGTGTTCCAGCGCATGAGGTGAGTGAGTTCTGGGTGAGTTCAGACAGCGCATGAGTTCGGAGCCTTGCGATTCCACATGGTGCCCACGCACCCTGAGCCTTCCCAGCCTCCGGTTTCCCTTGCTCGGTCCGGACGTATGACTTCCCTTGCCAGCGGCATGTGAGTGCTCATGTATCGGCGGTGGCACGTTGTTCAGGAGCCACCATTTTCGGCATGATCAAACCAGATCAAACAAGCATGTGAGCCACTCTTTCGAAACCTCCCCGTTCTTCTTTTCAGGCAGATGTTCCTCCCCGTTTTCAGAGCTGCAGTGGGAGAGACATCCAACGAGAGGTGGTGGATGGTCCCTGGCAGGTCATGAATCCAAGTGGCGCCAGCCAAACCGCCCCGTTTCGTTGGACCAACGGGGTGTGTTCGTGACACATCCGCTCGTTTGGTGTGGAACCGTGGTGGACTGAAGTGGACTTCCGGTCAGGTCAGGTCAGTCGTAATCACCGCCCTTGGTTTCCATCCTGAACTCGGAAGTCCCGGAGAATTTTTAGTAGAAAAAAATGTAGCGGATTGATAGTAGAAAAAAACACATTACCATGAAGACAACATTAGCGGTTTATCTCTTAGAACCTTTTTTGGTCTCTTACCATCTCATTTTTCGAAAATATCTTAGCATCTTTGTCTCCTATACATTACCTTTTGATCTCATTTTGAGAAAAAGACATGTTCCCCAAACAGTTTACAGACATGCGGACGGCACTCATGTCTGCAGTCATGATTTCCATGCTTCTCCCCCTTGGAACGCCCGCTCACCCCTCCGCATCTGCCACACTCGGTGGAGGTCTTCTCGCAGCCGGGCGAAGCAGGCGAAGCGAGCGAAGCCACAGTCCGTCTCGCGGGGGTGCCCGGTGACGGCGCCGACGGCCAACAAAATGGGTGGGGCATGTCTGGGGTGGCTCCATGTCTCTGTCAAAATGGAGTGTCAGTCGATGTTGGGATCGGCTGCCGTGTGTCCTTTTTCGCCACCGGCAACCTTGGGGCTCAAGTGGATCTTGTAACCATGGATCGGCCCTGCTAGCAGGTGGGGGTTGGTCACCTTGGTTCCTAGTATCTTATTTATACTGTAGTATAGTTTGGTAGGGAGTCATTGAGTCATTCCTCCGATCAGAACCGGGTTTTGTCTTTCACCATGGCTGCACATGTTCGCCCTCCACGGGGTCTACCACACACCTTCGGCCGTGTGCATCCAGGCGCCCCTGCCATCGTTTGGACACCCCCATTTTGTAGGGCTTGTCGGTCCGGTCCCACCTTTAGGGACCGATGGTTTGGGTGCTTGGAACAGCAACTATCATGTAACGTCAACGAGTTCCACTGTGGTCCCGTGCCATCATGGAATCATCCTCTTCCATCTCTTCCATCCCACCACTTCTTTGCTTGCTCCGACCCAAAATTTCGGACACGAGGATGCGGGTCTGCCGAAGGGGCGGAGGCTGGGCGGACGTGGTGGACGCTTGCGGGAGGAAGCCGGTTGTGACCGAGCAAGTGGTGCCTCCAGGTGATACCAAACCTTCACTTCCAACCAGCAGTCACAAAGGGGTGCGATCCATGGAGTGCTCAATCCACTCACTTAGGGACCAAAAAACCACCCCTTTTTGTGACTCCTGGAAGATGCTTGTTTCTCAGAAACTCACTTTCTGGGTTTGCGTGGGAACGACTGTGCTAAAGCCCATGGGCCACTCTTAGTGTTCCCGGTCTTGGAAGACACATATCATTTCTGGGATTATGAAGCGACTGCTGCTGAGAGGACTGCCGCTGCCGGTTTTTGCAGGTTCGTCTGCACCGTAGGGTAACTCGTCGTGTGGGTCACGAAGACCGTCATCGAAAGTCATCCAAAGTCTGGTTCATCAGTCTGAAACCCTGTCCGAGTCCAGCCACCCCGCTCAGCCTCCCCACTTAGTGAGTTGTCAGGAAGCCGCGTCGTGCGAAGAAGGCCAAGGCTGTCGGGGGCGGAGTTCAGCGACGGAGGGAGCATGCGAGTTGGTGAGATGTGCCCACAGAATGATCTGGCGAACCAGACGTTGGTGTTTGGATGGCAGAGTCCTATTGTTGAACAAAGCCATGCATTCTGCGCCGGAACCAGCAGACAGGCGAGACAGGAACCAGACAGACAGGCAGCATGTCCTCGGGGGTGGCCCTTCCGGCCGCAGGTGTCGCAGGAGGGCGACTGGAGCGCCCCGCGACCGGGGTCGGTGACCGGGCTGGTCGAGGGAGTCTGAGTCGGATCGACTCGACCGACTTCGGACCTCGGAAAGGGTGGCTCCCCGAAGAGAAAGCGCCGAGAAAGCGAAAAGGAAGCTAAAAGGGGGTTTGAATGCCATCTGGGTGAGAAGGTCTAGCTTGGAAGTTCAATCTTTCCCCGAAGGTCGGCCACAGCAAGGTGTCGGAAAGCACACTGTGAAACTCAGAGCCTGAAGATGTCTCCGGTTTCTACAAGCCTTCGGAAGCATATTCTACATCGCCAATGATCACTTTGACAGCTTGGGAGCCACCCCTGTACACTGTTTTCGATCCATTTTCCTCCCAGGCTTTCCTGCCTGGGTCCGCGCCTGACTCAACTTTAATGCAGTCCATCCGTGGCCCAGCCGTTTTTCGGGTGAAGCGCAGATGGGGGGTGTGGGGCTTCTCTGCCTATTTCATGCCCTTGTCGTAGGGGGTTGAAGATGTATGACCCCCAAACGATAGATGAACAAAAACCATTAGTTCATCAGAAACCATTAGATGGTCCTGCTCATGGTTACACAAGAGTCAAGTCATTTCGGCGTGCTCGCCCAGTGCCCCTTGGGCACGGGTTGCTCCCCCGAGCGTGGTCTGCTCCCCCGAGCGTGCTCGAGACACACGCGGGGGGGCGGCGGAGTGCCGATGAAACCCCCCTTCTGCGGGCACCCAGGGAGTTTCGTCACCCTGCGAAGCAAGGAGTGGACGACACGCACGGAGATCGAAGCATTCGCACGTGGGTGTTGGTCAGTGAGAAGCCCTGGCGGGTCATGGGGAGAGAGAATCGGTGAGGCAATGCGCGTTCCAAGAGAGGTAGAAAGGTGACCACTTGTGACTCGGTGAAGTGATGATAAAAACTGCTGATAGTCACAGAGCTCGGGGTGGTTTTGAGCCTCATCCAGTGAGTGGATGTTTTGGGCACCAACCTCCGTGGATCGCACCTAAGCTCCAGGTCTTTCCGACAGAAACCTCAGAAACCTCGTTAGGGGCCGGTCAGGGGGCCATACATCCACAGGTGAGCTCGGTTCCTTTGGGCCGGATGTAGCTGCTCGGTTCCTTCGGTGGCCGGTTCAGCCTCTCTTCGGCCGATGTTTTCAGCTTCCTGCCATCGACACCGAAAGGAAATCTCGCCTAACAGGTGGAGACCTGTTGCAGTCATGTGCATTTCGAACCCCTTCCCCTGGGGGGTTGAACTCACCAAGACCCACGCGCGGCGAGGAGTTCACTCCCCGAAGCACACGCATGGGACCAGGCCTTTCCCCCGCATGGTGGGCCTTCCCCAGACAGTGTCATGCGAAGAAAAGGATGGGTCGTGGGAGATGGGGAAAGTCTGACGTTCGTTCTTGAGACGAAGAACAGGCGATACTCCAAATGCGGCTTTGAGATACTTGGGACAAGAATGGAGCATATGATGTTGTTGCGTTTTACGATGTTCCCTTCGAAGGTCTTGAAGAGTCTTCATGTCCGGCGATGGGAGTCATGAAAAATGGCCGTGATTCCCCTCTTCAGGGACCCACAAGCTTTGACAGGGCCGTTGAATTCATTCATGATGAGGTTCTTGACCGTCGGGTCGGGAAGTGTTTGGGACACGTTCGTCCCAGACACCGTTCTATACCTCTATGAGGTTCGTCTGATGTTCTATGTATACTGCAGATCCAACACGTTCTACATCATGGTGAACGGTGTCGCAAGGCTGGGGTGGTCTTCCTTTCGGGGCCATGCCATTCACGGAACCATGTTAGTTCCAGGGAGTGTACAACTGATACACTCCCAACATATATTGAAACTGATACTTCCATATTCTATGTTGGGATGAGGTCGGGAGTGTCCAAGGCCTCATCCCAGATGACACCGATCTTCCTTTCGGTCCGATCCGTTAACACGGTCCTTCGCATCGTGTCGGTCGAGTGTCCAGTTGAGTCGCGGCTGCGCCGGCTGTTTAAAGGCGGTCGGCTCCGCGGTCCAAGGAAATCGCAAGGACGACCTTTTCATTTCGAAACAGATTTGGGAATGGTCAACCTGTGGTACAGATTGGGGAGGACCCCTTGGCATCAACCAGTCGCTCAGACAAGTGCGTTAAAGACAGACGCGATCCCAGACACGAGCTCTTCAAATATTCAAGTGTCAAGGTTTGCCGAAAGCTCGCGCGAAGCAATGGTGTGCCAGGGAAGAAGGCGACAGGCGGGGTGCGTAGAAGGGTGGATTGCTGTTGAAGAGAATCGTGCGTTTCAAGAGTGCCCTTCCACAGTTTGTGCCTCAAGACATAAATTTTGCTCAGCTTTCAGCTTTTGCATGCTGTTTCTTGAATCGAAGCCTATGTGCACAAAACCCAGTCACCTTCGATGTTGGGTCTGCTGTACACCGTTCAGCCAAAGCAGACCAGTCCATTTTGTACCTGCCTAGTCTCTATTTTTCTACTATAAGGGATGTTCCGATGTCCAAACCTACCTGGTCTTGGGCCGCAAGAAGCCCCGGAAAGAGAAGGTCCAAAACCTTCGCTTCCACCTACGCCGGTCATGGGAAAACCAGGTGACAGGTGGGCTTCCGGCTGCGACCGATGGCTGTGACCGGTCCCACACGTGGCAGACCGTCCCTCTTAGGCCTTGTGTCTGCTGGGCCTCTGGAGCCTCTACCTCCGAACCGAGGAGCCCTCTCGCACGCGCGTTTGCGACGGAAGCAGTGCAGGGGAACGCGGGAAAGCTGAGGACCCAACAGGGGACGATGTTCTCGAGTGCAGGGGAACGCGGGAAAACTCCACTGAGCATTGGTTGATTGGGGGCCAAGCTTGCTTGCTTACTAAGTGGTGTGTTTCTTTGTAAAGATGAGAGCACCATAATTGCATGAATTCCGGGGCCATTCTGCACGAACAGCTTCCGCACCTGGCGGGGGTGCCGCTGCAGAGCTTTGACTCTCTGGGGCCTTTGACTCTCTCGTCCTGCACGATGCACGGAAGGGATTCGGGAACGGTCCGTTCCACAGGTCGGGCACATTCCACTCATGGCACTCATGGACCGGTTCGAGAGGTCAGGTTCCTTTTTTTTTTTGAAGCGACACGGCGACACGAAGCGATGCGTTCGCGTTTGTCTTCAGTGTGTTTGTAAATAGATCTGGGGCGTCGATCTATTTCCCTTTCACCCTGGTGCAGAACATGGCTTTCTTGCGCTGCTGCAAATTCTGCACTCTCAGCAGCTGCAGCCTGTCAGGAGCAGCCTGGGCAGACCTGTGGGGGAGCTTGGCCTGGTGATTTTGTCGTAGAAGGTAGGCTTATCCGAGTGGATGTTCAGGGCACCCGGACTGCCTCCAAGTTCGGCACACAGTTGGAACTACAGGATTTTCAGTTTTTGTTGGAGTATCTTTGCATCTTTGGGATTCTTTTGGGGATGAAGTAGTTAGGACTTATCCAACCAATCACCGCAACAGTCCATCCACTGGTACAACTACCCAATATCTTAATTCATCTGAAGCTATCTGAACCATCTTCTTCAAAACCTGGTGGTCACCCACCAGACGGGGAAAGCCTCCTTGCAGAGGCATGCTATGGAGTGCCCCACTTCATTTCTCCAACCTGGTTGTCCTTCACTCGATACAACATCCATGAATGGACGTGGATGGGGCCAAACACCCTCACAAAAATAACACAGGACTTCGTTCGAGTTGCCAGGGTTGCCAAAGGTTAAAAAACCCAATAGGCTATCCCAGCTAGGTACCCCAGGTTACGGCCTTATTTGCGGTCACTTAACCTCTCTTGGGAGTTGCCAGAGAACCACATCCCGAGTTCGGGGTCAGTGTGGTAAGGGTAATGGCAACTGGTCAGTCCCATAGCAGAGCAAGACATGCCCAGGGCAATCAAGGTAAGACCGACCTGGATAGAACCTTTCATTGGCTACACTACACTAACCCAGCCGTCAAAGACCTTTGCAAGAATGGTTTACCTGGTTTTGTAGTCTAAAATCCTTAGCACAACAATGGTCAGTGGAACCGCTACCCCTGCGGCACTCCCCTTTTTCAGGCAGAACTTGATCAGCAACATGTGACAACATGTTAGATCCCTTCATGTCCAATCCGACACCCCGTGGCTGTGTCACGGCCAACACCTTCAGTTCTCCACAGCTTTACCTGATTTCGACCGCTTCGCGCCTGTGCGGTCGAGACATGTCAGGCTTTGCCTTGGCCGGTGCTGTGTCCGGGGTCCCCGGTGCAGCGCACCTGGTGCCGGCAATCCTTCCACCTGTTTTTGGTTCAAGGTGAGGTGAAGGGAGACTTACCATGCGGCAAGTGTGTGCGTTTTCTTCCACAACATGGCCCTTCTCAAGCCGTAACCATTTTGGCTCGAGTGCCAAGCCTCAAGCTGTGCCAACGACGTACGCGAACGCCGTGCGATCCAATTTGCCGAGAATGCCGGTCAGCCGTCCACGAACCATGGAGGATTGGCTTTATGTCCTGCCTGATTGTGTATCATCTGAATCGTGGACAGTGGCTACCTCACAACCAAAAGCTCAGCTTCTGCACCGGCCATGTCCTTGGGGTGGTCATCTCGTGAAGTTTGATTTGAAACGCATTGAGATTGCAGACGCGCCAGAGAACACAGCCAATGTGATTGTCCGGCCCGAGGTCCGATCAGCCATGAGTGGAATGTGTGCTCTATCAGGATTTCAAGGAAGCCACACAACGATCAGGTCTTCGGAATTCGTGGCGCCCGGCGAAGCCATCGTCGAAAGCAAGACCTCGTCATGGCTCATGCACCTTTGTGCGGTCCTCTTTGGCGAGATGGCCGGAAAAAAATTGAGTCATTTCTTTCACGATCCACAAGTTCCGGTGGTGTTGCACCAAAAGATCCGCCGCAACTACCCCTCAGAGGGTGACAGTGCCCTTGCAATTTGGGAAGAAGGTGGCGAAGTGCAAGAAGGTTTTATCCTCATCCGGCCGGAGAGTGAGAAGGGCACATTCAACGTGATGTTCGTCATGCGGATCTTGGAGGGGAAGTTTGCTCCATGGGCCACCTTTCAGTTTCGACTTCTTATGGAGGGTGCTCATCGGTCAACACAATTCTTTCTCAATCGCCCAAACATTCGAGAACTGCGTGAAATTGATGAGAAGTTCTATGTGACTCTGTCCATCCAAAGCTTTAAGCGTGGAGTGCCCATGGTGCCCTGCTCCAGCAAGCCAACGGTGACCATCGATGCTGGGGAGCGTTTGGGTTTGAAGCTTTGGAGACGCTACAAGACGGAGAGACGGGGAGCAGCTGGCAGTAAGGGCAAGTTCTTTCTGTCCGAGTATTTGACGATCCTGGTGAATGCTCTGGGAGAGGACATTGAGACTTTTGATACTTTGGATGGATTAGAAGTTGTCCGTTATCAATGCATTGTTCGACGGAGCGACTGGGAACGCGTGAGAATGCGCTTCTTTGACGACATCTACCCCTTGGCGAGAGCTGCGTATCGCAGGGCAAATGGGGGCACGTATGCGCCAAGTGTCTATGAGGAGGTTGAAACAAAGTTCAATCTGCAGGAACCCAAACGCATCGAAGAGGAAGAATCGCTGGACATGCCCAAGTTGGTGGTACGAAATACCTTCTTGGACCTCGAGGAAGAAGACACTCAAGATCCTGCAGACAGGCCTAAACGAAGAACGAGAAGTGCCAAGCTTTTCCCTGTGGAGCTGAGCGTTGCCGAATTCGCATAAAGATTACACCGCAATACACCGCATTTAGCAGCTCAAAAGACAGTTGCACATGGAGACAGGATTCATGTATAGAAGATGTCTCTAGCATTCACTATTTTCACTATTTCTGTAGCCATTTCTGTACAGGGAAGGCACGATTTGCTGCCAATGCTCCACTGAACTTAGTCGATGTGTAAAGATGTCTTAGTCGATGTCTAAGTGCATTTCTTGTACAGTGTCCTCGTCATGTCCCGACAACGGAGAGGAACGCCACTTCCATGTGTTCGATTCTGAAAGCGCAGTTGCTGTTCGTTCGAGAAAACGGGTGTCCGCTCGAAACCGTGTGGACTTCCTTTGGTCAGTAGCCGTAATCGCCTTTATTCCATCCTGAACTCCATGGAAGTCCCGGACAATTCGTGATTTCAATGTAGCGGATGGATAGTAGAAGAAAACACATGACCATGAAGACAACATTACCGGTTTATCTCTTAGAACCTTTTTTGGTCTCTTACCATAGCATTTTTCGAAAATCTCTTAGCATCTTTTGTCTCCTATACATTACCTTTTGATCTCATTTTGAGAAAAAGACATGTTCCCCAAACAGTTTACAGACATGCGGAAGGCACTCATGTCTGGTCATGATTTCCATGCTTCTCCCCCTTGGAATGCCCGCTCACCCCTCCGCATCTGCCACACTCGGTGGAGGTCTTCTCGCAGCCGGGCGAAGCAGGCGAACGAGCGAAGCCACAGTCCGTCTCGCGGGGGTGCCCGGTGACGGCGCCGACGGCCAAAAAATGGGTGGGGCATGTCTGGGGTGGCTCCATGTCTCTGTCAAAATGGAGTGTCAGTCGATGTTGGGATCGGCTGCCGTGTGTCCTTTTTCGCCACCGGCAACCTTGGGGCTCAAGTGGATCTCGTGACCTTGGATGGGCCCTGCCAGACACCAGGTGGATTGAAGCTACCAGGCGCCGCCGAGCGCTCTTTTGCTCAAGGCTCAAAAGGCACCTCGCTGCGACTTCGCCGCAAGCTCGCTTTTGATGGTGAGCGGAGCCTGAGATTGCTGATCTCGGGCACCCGCTGGCGCGGCTCCTGCAGCTGCGCTCCTTCCTGCGCTCGCTCCGGCGCCCTGGCTTGCTCCCGTGAGCGCCAGGCCACTACATCCTGGTCGAGCCCTTCCTCCCGGTTGAGCTCTTTGGCATGACCACCGCCGGAGGTCTGATCACAGACCGCTATGGGGTCCCACAGTACAGTGGGGAAGCCGAACTCTTTGAAGAGTATGAAGAGCGGGCTTGGGATCTTTTTCATGGAAGAGAAGGCACTGATGGGCTCCAGATTGCCACTCCAGTTCATTTGAGAGCTGGTCTCACTGGTGCAGCATATGAGTCGGTCCGCAAGCTGGAACACAACAAGTTGAAGACCAAGAACAGCGACGGCAAGGCGACCGACGTTGGCATGAAGCTCCTCCTGTCCACCTTGAAGGACTCGATAGCAGCTGAGCTTCCAGTGAAGACAAGTGAGCTCTTCTTCCAGGCCTTCTACAGCCCCAACGTGTGGAGAAAGAACTATGAGACCATGCAACAGTACATCGTACGCCGTGAGCAAGACTTCAAGCGCCTCGAGGACAACAGCCCCGGCACGCAGGTCTCAGAGCAGGTGAGAGCAATGATGTGCTTTGGAGGCCTCGATCCAAAGGAACAGACCTCTGTGCTCAGCTCCTGCAACAACACCTACGAGTTCCAGAAGATTGCACAATTTCCCAATGCTGCTGGGAAACCCGTTCATCGTCGTGACTACCTTGGAGCACGACTACAAGGTGGCCCTTCGACTCAGCAGGTTCACATGCAATGGAAACAGAAGTTCAGTGGCAAGACCCGGCAAGTCCTGGCTACTGAGGACTATGAACCTGAGCCTGCCGAGTACGACGATGATGCCTACATCGAAGAAGGCCACGATGATGAGTATGAAGAAGGCCCCACCGACGAGGCCTATGCTGGCTACTCCGACGACGAGCTCATGGAGCGACTTCCCAGACCTTTCAGAAGATCCCGCAATCGCTGAAGCCTTTGCCACGGTGGCTCAGCATCGCTTCAAGAAGAAGTTCATGTCTGGCAAGTCCTCCACTCCGAGCTCTCCGCCTAACCAGCAAGCATTTGGCTTCCAGGCCCGTGGTTAGATGAGCTTCTCCAAGAAGGCCAAGGACCAGAGAAAGTCCGCAGTCCGCTTCCTGAAGTCCGTCACTCCGTGCACTGCCTGCCAACAGAAGGGACACTGGGCAGGCGATCCAGAGTGTTTTGTGAAGAAGGGAAAAGGCCGTGGAAAGACATCTTCACCTTCAGCAAAGAAGAAAGGTCAGCCACCCAAGCGGAAGTCTCCGGCCACCACTCTGCTCGCCCTTCATGATGCGGAACCTGATCGTCAAGATCATGACGCGCCCGATGCTGCTATGGTTGAACCTCCAACTGCAGAGGCTGAGGAGTGCTATATGGCTGACGACCTCAACGCTCCCAGGAATGTCAAGGCCTCTGAGTATCGGTACGACCCAACCAACCTCAACGGCACTGGCACTTCAGATGGGCAAGATGTGTCTCATGGGATCTACACCTTGGCAGCCTATGTTGTGAACGATTTCACCTACCAGAAGCTGCCAGGTCCCGTGGCATTTCGTCACATCTGCGATGCCTCAGAAACCGATGGCTCTGCTGAATCCTTCATGGCTCTGAACTGTCCCAAGCTTTGTGAACACTCTTCCTATCGAGGCGGTGAAGAACACAAGCTCCACCGTGGTGCCCACGGACACACCCGACATGTCACTTGCAAGGAACGCGGTTGTGATCGCACCATCATCGTTGGCCACCGGAAGGAACCAGTTGAGATGTGGTCCTACTTGGTCCAGATCCTCTTGTGCACGAAGTGGCGCGTCCAACCAATCACAGCAACAGTCCATCCACTGGTACAACTACCCAATATCTTAATTCATCTGAAGCTATCTGAACCATCTTCTTCAAAACCTGGTGGTCACCCACCAGACGGGGAAAGCCTTCTTGCAGAGGCATGCTATGAAGTGCCCCACTTCATTTCTCCAACCTGGTTGTCCTTCACTCGATACAACATCCATGAATGGACGTGGATGGGTCAAACACCCTCACAAAAATAACACAGGACTTCGTTCGAGTTGCCAGGGTTGCCAAAGGTTAAAAAACCCAATAGGCTATCCCAGTTAGGTACCCCAGGTTACGGCCCTATTTGCGGTCACTTAACCTCTCTTGGGAGTTGCCAGAAAACCACATCCCGAGTTCGGTCGGTGTGGTAAGGCTAATGGCAACTGGTCAGTCCCATAGCAGAGCAAGACATGCCCAGGGCAATCAAGGTAAGACCGACCTGGATAGAAGCTTTCATTGGCTACACTACACTGACCCTAGCCGTCAAAGACCTTTGATGGTTTACCTGGTTTTGTAGTCTAAAATCCTTAGCACAACAATGGTTGTTCGACAAGGCCATTAACAAAGTCGACAAGATAGATCTATCAATCATTCAGTTGGTGGACGCTGCCCACCGCTGCCCACCATGATTACCAGAACCAGTGGAACTGCTACCCCTGCGGCACTCCCCTTTTTCAAGCAGAACTTGATCAGCAACATGTGACAACATGTTAGATCCCTTCATGTCCAATCCGACACCCCGTGGCTGTGTCACGGCGAACACCTTCAGTTCTCCACAGCTTTACCTGATTTCGACCGCTTCGCGCCGGTGCGGTCGAGACGTGTCAGGCTTTGCCTTGGCCGGTGCTGTGTCCGGGGTCCTCGGGGCCGGCAGAGCAGGGTCCCCGGTGCAGCGCACCTGGTGCCGGCAATCCTTCCACCTGTTTTGGTTCAAGGTGAGGTGAGGGGAGACTTACCATGCGGCAAGTGTGTGCGTTTTCTTCCACAGCATGGCCCTTCTCAAACCATTTGGCACCACGGACCTTTATTTTTGGTCCAAACGAGCGCGTCCCGTACCCAGTTCCAGCCGTAGGCCACGGGACCCGCCGCACCCACCAGCCCACCGCCCAGGCGCCACGGGTGGAGAGACCCGCGCGTGGTGCAGAGACCGAGGCGCACGCTGCGAGCGAGCGTTGTTCCCCCCGCGACGCACGGAGCGAGAAGCCGACGGCGGACGAACGGAGCGTTTCAAGCGACGCGAGTCGCTAGGAAGTAGGATGGCTACTAAACAAGAAGCAATGGGACCCATCGCTTTCAGTGTTTCAGTTCGTTGTTGCAGTCTGTTCGTAAAACATCCCAAATGGTAGGTGCCGTTTTGGAGGCCGTTGTTTGTCTGTCTGACGTGTTCTACGACTCCGAAGCTGAAGCGAAGGAGCCCTTTGCTGCGAGTTGCTGGATCCCCTGGAGTGTGTAGAGGGCTTTCTCAAAGATGCTGCTCTTTCGCCACCTCAAGGTCTGGAGTCTAGAATTATAGAAGATAGGAGTAAGTAGGGTCCCTGGGATTCCAAGAACCATGGTGTTAATATGCTTTATATAATGCTTTAATAAATTGTCGAACAAATATCCTTGTTGTGCCAAGGATTATTATAGACCTCAAAATTCTTGCAAAGGCTGTCCGGATTTTCTTTGGAGTAGGACATCATGCTACTTTGGTCCGAGCGACCTCAGCGCATTGTGAGTCAGGCCGCGCATTGTGCGACAGGCTGGGTCGGCGAGACCGCTTTCGTCAGCATCTCTCAGAGTTGGGTTTCGAGACCTGGTGGGTGAAAACCTGTAGCCCCAAATCTGGGTGGTTGACATCCCGAACATACAGGAATCGGTTCTCAAACTGTGCGGCAAAGAACAGGGCTACGATGGGCTACGGGGTTTGGAGCAGCCACTCTGCTCACCTACAGGGACTCAGATCTCAGAAGAGGTTGACTCCCGTCACCTGTGGTTTCGGTGATACATTCTTTAATTGACAGGAGGTAATGGTCGAATCAGGCGTTCGTTGACTTGAAAGGTAGATCCTCTTGGTGTTCCTGTCGCATGCGAACATGGACCTCCGTCGCGAGGACCTCGGCGTCCCACCGCTTTGATCCACAGCGATACCTGGAGACTCGGTGAACCTCTCACCGCTCCCGTGAAAGCACACGGTACTCAGCGGATCTGAGCGGCCTGAACACTGGAGAACTGGAGACGTCGGAGTTTTCCTTTGGGGAACACCGACGAAACAGCTTGTTCGGCTTCCCAGCGGGACAACTGGCGGGCCGACGCAGCAGCGAGCCGCGGCGCAAGCCACGCCGCGGTCCGTGGCTCCCGGCGGCGTCCGCGCTGCCGTCGTGCGCGCCAGATTCAAACCTATGACGCCTTTGAGAACATGGGGAACCCCTTCGATGCCCGGGACCCCGGTTTTTCGTTGGTCTCTTTGGCGGTTTCACGACCCGTTTCGTTTGGGAGAGAGCCCAGACGGACGGCCGAGAAACGGCCAGGGGTGGTTGACGGGGGGTCAATTGATTGGCATAGATGGCAGTCCCATGGAGTGTCTGGGCTTGGTCTATTTTTTTGTCTCTTTTCCTGCAGCGTAAGGGTGCAGGTGAGTCCCGGGTTGGGTCCGCTTCGATTTCGGCGATGAACTCGCTGGGCGATGGTGAATTGTTCATCAAGCTGAGGGGGGATTAGAACCACTTCATCCAGCAAAGGCTCCTGAAAAGATGTGAACAGAAGACCATTTCTTTTGTTCCCCAAACAGCTGCGGCTGCGGGGGGTTCTGGATTCTTGCCATCGAAACGATCCTGGGCCTCTTGTCGGTACTGTTGTCTCCCTTCTTTCCCATGGCAAAAGAACCGAGATAGTCTGGCAAGGAGATTCGCCGTCAAAAAGAGACATCAAGTTGCCGCTGTGCTGTTTGGGGTTGATGCTGGTGTAATTGAGATATATATAATATACAAAATATAATATAAAGTAATATACAACATTGTTGTTCAATCAAACACTATACTATACCTGTATCTCAATCTCTGAGTACGACTTTGCATCTACTATGGAAGGTTCTGAGCTTGAAGCCTTTATGGACCGCATCTGTTTTTAGAGGTGGGATTTTCTCCGGGAGGACTTCCCCAAAAGGGACGGGTGACCCACCGGATGTGACCGTGGTGTTTCACACCGTCACTTCAACTTCCTAGCGGAGTGCGGCAGGTCCCCCGGATGACATGGAGGGGCTGTTCCGAGGTGCAACAGATTCGGGGGGAGCCAGAAACCGTTCAGAAGTGTCTTCACCACGTACGAATGAACCACTTGCACTCATTTGTCCCGCCAAAAGCCGCGGAGGCTCCCCAGTGAACATACCCCGTCCACCCTCCGCCCGACCGTACCGTCTCCGGCCGTATCGATGCGACGCGAGGTCTATGCGACCTTCTTCGGGCTCTCGGTCGTGATGCCGTGGCCTCGGAGAGCGAGTGGTTGCGCTGAACGTCCGGATTCGCTGGGATTTGGAGAGGGAACAGTCCTTCGGCATCGTGTGGCTTAAGCGTTTTTCGGACTGCAGACTCGACAGGCTGCGCCTACCGACCACCTCCTGGTGGATCTATTTTGGTTCATCCTAAGGGCATTACTAGTAGCTTCTAGCTACTAGTAGCGATGCACCTGTTACTAGTAGCGATGCACCTTGTTACTCGTAGCTTCTAAACAGGTTGCAAGACTAAGAGATTTTCAATGGCGGACTGCCAAGTTGTGTTTGTTGAGGTTGGTTATTCTCTTCGTCTTTCCCTTCGCCACCAACTTCGGGCGTACCGATGACAAGGACTATATGAGAGACTTCTTCCTATTAGACGAGCCGTGTCTAGGGTGGGTAAGAAAACAGGCACTTGGATGCACTTGGGCTAGAAACCCATGTGCTTCTTTAGAGTTTCGTGCAGACTTCCTTCATGATCCGTGTCCCACCTCGTGGGCTCTTGTTTCCGAGAAGAGAAGATGTGTGTGGGCCGACCAGTTTTCGATGTCTGAATTGAAACAGTGCTGGGTTCTGTAGAAACATTCCAAAGCTGCAAAACATTGTAAGTGTATATGCCAAGGCCCCTGAGGGGTGGTAAATGGACACGCTTAACCTCTGAGGGGCTACAATTAGCCACCCCTTTTCTGGGGCCCTGGTGGAGTCTTTTAGCGGGCTTTGTCGACCTCTGCCCACCTGCATGCCAAAGGAACTTCGACATGGCAGGGACCTGCCTCTGCCTCCTTGTCTTGGCCAGGAGGAGGAAGATGTAGAGCTCCTCTACGAGGAGGTCGACGACGAGGAGGATGACAAGGACTGCAGCGACTGCAGCAAACACGAGGATGACCAGGAGATGACAATAGAGATCCCATCAGATCTCAGCCCTATTGATCCGCAGACCAACCGAGCCGGACCCTACGGCTTGTCAAACCTTCGAATGGCCCAGCAGTTTGGGATCGGAGCCAGGAGGACCTCTATGAGGAAGAAGATGAGACACCGGACGAAAAGGCCGGATCAACCCCTGGCCACAAAGCCTCTCTCCCGGTCGGTGTCAAAAAGGAAACAAGACGGGGACAGGGCGGCTGGGGAGGTCCATTTTTCAGGGTTTTCAGATTTGGATGTTGCCAGTAAGGGTGCGAAACCGGGGGCCCGTTTGGTGAAACCGGCGGCTCTTTGCTTGACTAAAGGGTTTTTTCTGACTTCGCGAGACCCGTTCGAGGTGAAAGCCGTCGAGAAGGAGGTGAAGAAACAGGCGCACCTTGCTCCCCTGCCCATGCTGTAGAGTCCCACATGTGGCGCGTCCAGGAGAGAACCGAAGAAATTCCAAAGAACCCGCAAATCAATCGGAAAACTGGTCAGAAGCTGATGAGTGCAAGCTATGCTCCAGAGGTTTGTTCCCAGCATTAGAAATCTCAAACACTCAGGATTTTTCGGTCTAAGAGTGACATGGACTTTTGTGAATGGAATATGTCGGGACCCTTCATTTCGTGCATTTGAAGAAGCTTTGGGCGCTTTTTCTTGAGCAACCACTCAAGCGCATGCTCACACACATGCACTCAGTTGTCGGTCGCGTCTCACTTTCTCCTCCCATCCTCCCAATGTCATGGGCCAAACGGTTCAGTCAGGGATTCGCACCGCCCCACCAAGTCAAAGGGTGTTGAACGTCCTGGATGAGAGCATGACAAGGCGACGACACAGCTGCAGTTGTTGTAGAATCCTCTTCCAAAACGGGAGTGCCAGACTGCCAGACGCACGCATGTGAATCCAGCGGCCACCCCTTTGTGGTTCTGCTGGCTTTTTGCAGGCGACGACGGCGAGCCAAGTGGCCCCCTAGGCGGGTTTCCGCCCGCCCCGTTAAACGGCCCGGGAGAGACCTTTCGGCGCCGAGAGGGGGTGTGTTCTTCGGGAGGTCGGCGCCGCGTTGAACGCACCGCTGCCGGCGCCTCCGACCAGGGAAGACACCCTTTCCATTCCTTCGGCCGGGGAAGAGCGGACCCGTTGCCTTTCGGAAGACACCGAGGATTCGAGCGATTCAACGAAGGAGTCGAATCCCTCGATGCCAAAGGGCGAAGATGTTGGCATCACTGGCCATGACTTACTCCCCTAGGCTTCCAACAACCAATGTTTTAATGGTCTGACTCCCGAACCACCAGCTGTTTTACGAAGGATTCTACACTACGCAACCAGGTCAACAACAACAACAACCTTTCTTTGAATGGTCTTGGAAGCCTAGGGACTCCTTTTTATTGGGGGGAAGATGATGGCATCCCCATCGACTGATCTTCCAAGCGATAGGCATCACCAGTCGTCTCCATCCACAGGCGGCCACCGTGGGGACCACGAAGTCCGTCGCCGCGTGAAAACACCGCAGAACGAACGAACGAACGGTGCGGTGCGGTGGAAAAACGGACTGCGCGGCGGCGTCCGGTGTTGGTGGAGGGAGGCCATGTTGGTTCTTCGTTTTTGGGGGTGGCAGGAGGCCACCTTTTGTCGGGGTGGGAGCGTTCTTGGAGGCGACGCCGCGACGCGACCCCCCCCCCCCAACAGATGCAGCGACAGGTAGATCAGCTCCCCTCGCCCGTCCCGCCACGAACCGCACGTGGAACGCCCAACGCGAGACGTCACCGTTCCTGGAGAGGCGGTCGCACCCGGACGGCCTCTGACGGTGGACCCGGTGGCGCCGACGTTCTCTCCAAAGCTGCGTTCGCTTGGCCAAGGTGGTTCTGCCTCACAACTGCTCCAGCCCAGCGGTCTGTTGATTGCAACATAGTGCAACACAGACACAACATGACACAACTATATTCCTACACAGCTCTGTCATGCGATGCCAATGCATTTCAAGCCGCCGAACACGGCCGGTCACGGCGTGGCTCCACAAGCAGGTCACGGCCGTCTCTTGGTTCGTAGCCTTCGGTGCCACGCGCGCCTTCGGCGGCGAGACTCCACTCCGTCTCCGCCCTCCGTCCATCGCCCTCCGGAGACAAGACGGGAGTCTCTGCAGTGTTACATGGCACTCGGCAGGAACTGCTGCTCTCCCTGCCGGGCGTGAACAGTAGGAGTAAGTAGGTGCCCTCTGGAAACGGGTCGAAAGTAACACAGACAGACAGGTTCCGCACACCACAGGGGCGGACGTGTTCACCGCCCGTCCTCCGCTGTTGGTGTCGGCCGGCCACTCTTAAAGAGCGGGTCCTGGTGGACAGAGTCCATCTTGTCCGTTGCAGGCCATTGAGCCGTTGTGCATCGTAAGCAGCATGCTGTTCAACGCCGACAGCAACAAGTAACTAGCGTTGTCGATGCTATTCGTTCGGTCGACGTACTTTGATGAAGGGGGCTTGGATCAGTTGAAAGGCTGCTGGGCTTTAGTCTGTGCAATTCCATATCAAGTCATAACGGGGACGGTTGCTGAAGGTTCAGGGTCTCGGCATCCGCTTGCGGGAACTGACGGGCTGACATGGCCGGCGAGGTGGCCAGACTTGCCACTGCCAGCTCGTACGAGCTGGCGTTCTGAACTTGCGTTCTAAACTGATCTTCGACCCTAAGAATCCGAGCGGGCTCTCCATGGCCCTCCATAGTCCGGACCCTCAAAACCCTATGTTTTTCTGGAGCCGGATGCTTAGGGTAGTAAGTTCCACACAGATCTTTTGCGCGTAGAGACCTGCATCCTCTTTTTGCGCGTAGAGTCGCATGGATTCCTTTTTTGCGCGCAAAAACCTATCTGTTTGAAGATGCCTGGCTTACTTCGGCTTTCGTGGGTTGTGAATGTCCCGGCAGCCTGATGCGGCGCTCCAACGATGGCCTTTGGAAATTCCCGCCGCCATACGCACGCAACTCTTGGCACTTACAAGCCACAACGTCCCCCGTTGAAATTGGCTTTCTGAAACGGTAGTGTTCGGAGTCTTGATACAACATCCCCCACCGCTGTTCGCCTATGCCGATGCTTTGCCCTACATTATGTCAAATCTGAATCTGACCCCCTTTTTATAGTCAACATGGGTGGCACCCAGCCTGAATCTTGGTGATTTTTGAGGGTTTTGGAGGTACAAGGTCCATTTTGGTCTTTGATTAGCTTTAAGGATTTTGAAGCTGTTAGGGTCAAGGGGTCATTTTTATAGGAGGATCGCATTTTTCTTAAATTGAGTGCTGGGACCTGGTCAGGGAATTGTGAAACGGAAGATGAAACCAGACCGGACATTCGATCGTATGCAGGTCCGAACTTGTGACTTCGCACCATGGCTCAAGCCATGCATCACATCGCACGGCAAAACAGTTGCGTCACGACGCTGTTTTCCTTTGTGTTTTGGCTGCCCAATTCATATTGGCAGCGGAGCTCAGTCTCCGGGGAACCCTTTTGGTTTGTGAGCTCAGGCCATTTCGGTACACCCTCGATTTTTCTAGGTGACTCTTTTTACCGCCGCTTTCGATTTCGAGCCATGTCGATTGTGGACTGCCTCAAAATGGCAGACATTCACTGCGGCCCAGGAAGATGTCTGGTCCACAGAAGCCAAGAGCGGTGTGCCGCGCTATGATGGAGAAGTGAGCCGACTGGCTGAGTACCAGTTCAGGGTCAGGCTGCGACAAGCCAGGGAGAAGGTGATGGATGAGCAAGAGTTGAAGAAGCAAGGGCCACTTGCTTTGAGGCTCATTGATGGCCTCAGGGGCCCTGCATTGCAAGTTGCACGTGCCATCCCTGTGGACAAGCTCGTTTCCGAAGACGGCACAAACACGTTGCTCAAAGCCTTGCAGAGCGCACTTCAGCCGAGATCCAAGCAGGAGGCCAGAGACCTGTACCAGATCGGTGCGCAGCAGGGCGGAGTTTTGGCCCGACAGGTTGGAGAAAGCATTCCGTCATTCGTCCTACGACGGAAGGCATGGTACAACATGATGCTGGACATGGATTCCTCTCTCCAACTCCCTGAGGCCATTCTCGCCGAGCAGACCTTGCAGAATGCCGGCATCAGTCACGACCACCAGCTGCTGATCCGTGCGGCCGTGCATGGTGACATCACCATGAACAAGGTCTGTGAAGAACTGGTCGCACAGCACAGCCGCATCCATGAGGTCGAGGCTCGCCGCAGCAAGGGGCACTTCAGCCGCTTCAACCACAAGGGATACTCCAGCAAGGGCTATGGCAAAGATCGAGGACGGTCTTCTTGGCACCGGGCATATCATGCCACGCCCAACGAGGAGTACTACGACTGTGAGGACTGGGACAACAACTCCCAGTCGTTGAGCGGATTTGATGAAGTTGAGACCTATGGAGAAGAGCATCAAGCTTATGTCATGGATGAAGAAGACTACATCCATCAGGTCTACATGAGCATGATCGAAGACGGCCTTGACGAGTATGACACAGAGGCCATGGAGTATGCGGCCGAGATCATGCAAGCAGAGGCAGAAGCCTTCTATGTCCGTGAGAAGGCAGGTCATGGAGGACACAAAGGCTTCTCTGGAGGTGGACGTCAATTCCAAGTACATGGACACCTCACGATGGAAGAACGTCGAGCTCGAGTTCAAGCCATGAAGTCTCGTACGACTTGCCGGAAGTGTGGACAATCTGGCCACTGGGCGAATGACCCTCAATGCCCAAAGTCCTACAAGTCCGCCAAGGGCAAGAGCAAGGGTGGATCTCCTTCCTCGACGACATCCACGACTACCAGTTCACCCAAGTCGAGCAAAGGTGGCAAGGGAGGCAAGTCTGACAAGCCTCGCACAGTGTTCTTCACTGTGAATGAGTATCAGCAGACCATCACTGAGGAGGACCACAAGGACTTCGAGGCCAACATGGTAACCAAGGCTGAACAACAAGCACTACAAGATCGTGAGGAGACAGCCGATGAGAAGCTGGACCGACTCATCATGGAGGCACAGATCCGACAGGCCACTCCGACTGTCAGGCATGCCATCGGACCACCAGCTTCGCAGGGACCAGTTCCAAGTCCCGCAACACCAGGATCATCTTCGGCAAGCCATGCTCTGGCCGAGGATTTCAGTGTCTTGCAGTCTGATGCAAGGAAGGCACATCTGGACACCTTCATGGCCATGATCAATGACCCCAAGGATGCTGAATGGCGTGATGCCTACAATGAGCGATGGTATGAATTCTATCCTGGACATCCGCTCTACACCCAGGAGGATCGGGAGCTTCTGCAGAAATGGCGGTGGAAGGCTGAACGCGGACTTCCCCGATTACCAGTTCAGCTCACTGCAACCCCTTCGAGCCCTACGGCATCTTCACAAGGGAATGATGATCTGCTGAGGCCCTGTGCACACATGCACACAACCCGCCAAGGATCCAATGCCTATCTCCGGGTCCTGAAGTGCAAGGATTGCAACAAGTACCTAGAGTACACTAAGTTGGACAAGCCCCAGAAGATGGAGGTCGATTCCGACAAGAAGACTGGCATCAAGTGTGAACATGAGGAGAAGGATTGGCGTGGAAGCACCGGCACCACATGGCAATGGAAGTGCAAATCCTGCGGGCACATCGAGAAGGGCAGCAGATCGGATGGCAAGCTGTGGGAAGCCAAATCGGCAGCAGCAGTGTCTGGAGCTCCGACAACTGGACAGGTTGACAAGGTCCTGGAGCTGTTCTCAATGGCCGTCGGACTTCAGAAGGAGATCGGAGGCGATCTGACTGTTGAGACCATGGACAAGATCTACGAGAAGTGCAAGAACACAGCACTTGGGAAAGCATCCGGCAGCTCTTCGACATTCTCACCACCGACCAGGAGTTCAGAGCCGGTCAGCATTGAGAAGCTGCAGGGCACCTACTTCACTTCAGGTGTGCATAAGGGACACTCGTTCAAAGAGATCTATAGCTATGAGAAGAGCTATGTCAAGACCATAATTGCCAAGTTCAAGAATGACAACATCAAGGATCGTTGCCTGGTCCAGTTCGCCAAATACTGCATTGCTCGACAAGAGCGTGAGGAAAGTGAAGCCTACATGGTCCAGGACGATGACCGCAGCTCTGAAGAGATCTATGTCATCCTCGACACCGGCTGCAACAACACATGCCACGGGTCTCGCTGGATGGAGAAATTTGTGAACTACATGGGCATGCAGCCAGAGCTCCAATCAGCGGAAGGTCGATTCCGTGGTGTCGGTGGAAAAGTTGAGG